GTAGATCAAATGTTTAAGCTTTTTTAAAGTAGCCTCCCCAATTTTTTTCCAGAGTGGTTGGCTAGTTTCATGTCCCACAAACAGTGTAAAGGGTTCCTTTTTCCTCGCATCCTCGCAACACCTGTTGTTCGTGGTGTTGCTAAATGATGGTCTTTTCTAACGGGGTGAGGTGGAATCTTAGTGTGGTTTTAATTTGCATTCCTTATTGCTAGAGATGGTGAGCATTTTTTCATGTGTTTTTTGGCCATTTGAATTTCTTCTTTGAGAAATTTCTGTTTAGTTCACTTGCCATTCTTATTGTTCTTAGTTTTGGGAGAATTTAGTTTTTTAAGTTCCCTATATATTCGGTTATCAGTCCTTTATCTGAATGTATAGTTGGCAAATATTTTCTCCCACTCTGTGGTGTTCTCTTCAGTTTAGAGACCATTTTTTTGATGAACAGAAGCTTTTTAGCTTTATGAGGTCCCATTTAATGTATCTATCTCTTGGTTGCTGTGCTGCTGGAGTTTTGTGAGAAAGTTCTTACCTATACCTACTAACTCCAAGTATTTCCTACTCTTTCCTGTATCAACTTAGAGTTTGTGGTCTGATTTAAGATCCTTGATCCATTTTGAGTTAATCTTGGTATAAGGTGATATACATATCTAGTTTTAGTTTTTTGCAGACTGCTAACCATTTTCCCAGCAGTTTTTGTTGAAGAGGCTGTCTATTTCTCCATTGTATATTTTTAGTCCTTTGTCAAAGACAAGTTGGTTATATTGTGTGGGTTCATATCTGGGTCCTCTGTTTGTTCCCACTTGTCTTCATGTCTGTTTTTGTGCAGTACCATGCTGTTTTTTATTGTTACTGCTTTGTAATATAGTTTGAAGTCAGGTATTGTATACCTCCTGCATTGTTCTTTTCACTGAGTATTGCTTGGCTATTCGTGGCCTCTTGTGTTTCCATATAAATTTAATGGTAGATTTTCAATCTCTTTAATGAATGTGATTGGAATTTTGATGGGAATTGCATTAAACATGTAGATTACTTTTGGGAGTTTGACATTTTTTACTATGTTGATTCTACAATCATGAGCATGGGAGATCTCTCCACTTTCTTATAGTCTTCCTCAATCTCTTTCTTCAGAAGTGATAGTTTTCCTTGTAGAGGTCTTTCACATCTTTTGTTAGGTTTACACCTAGGTATTTGATTTTTTTTGAGGCTAAGGACACTCTAAATTTAAGTGAATGTTTTTATGTACCTGAGGTTTTTTTTAGCAATCCTAATTTCATTTCAATTTGTCATAATCATTGCTAATTTTTTTCTTTTCTGAAATAGCAAGACCATTTGAAGTACTATTTCTGTATGACAGTCCTAAAATAACTTATTTTTATTAGTGTATATCAATTGTAAAATGTGAGGGATTTCATTGTGATGTTTACATGTAATATGCTTTGATCATATTCATCCCCTCCCCTGTATTACTCTTTCTTATCATCCTTACCCCACTCTGTCCCCCTTCTTTAATCTTTCCTATAATTTTTAAATGAGTTTCATCTTGACCTTTTCATGTACACATATGGTGTACTTAGATCATATTCTCTCCCCTCCTTTCCCTTTCTTTTCCCGCCTCCCACCTTTCCCTGGTTACCCCCCAGTAGTTCCCCTTTTATTTTCAAGTTCTTTTTCCCCCTTTAAATCTAGCTTGCACATAGGAGAGAAAACAGGTGGTACTTCTCTTTCTGAGTCTGTCTTATTTCGCTTACCATGATGATTTCCAGTTCCATCCATTTTCCAGTAAATGACATAATTACATTTTTCTTTATATTTTCTTTATCCATTCATTTGTTGATGGGTGCCTAGGCTGATTCCATATTGAGAATAGTGCTGCTGCTATAAACATGGCTACACAGGTATCTTTATTGTATGCTGATTTGCATTCCTTTGGGTATATGCCCAAATGTGGTATGGCAGGATCATATGGCAGTTCTGTTTTTAGTTTTTTGAGGACTCTCCATACTTACTTTCATAGGGGCTGTACTAATTTATGTTCCTGCCTATGGTATATGAGATTTCCTTTTTCTATTCTCACCAGCATTTGTTACTGTTTGTTTTCTTGGTGATAGTCTACAGTGAATTATTAATATGATTTTCTTTTATTCCACACCCCATAGGTAACTTTTTTAAATAATTGAGACTTTTCCCATGTGGTCTGTATTGAGATATATGTAAGCCAAAGAAAATACTATACAAGTAATGTGATGAGGCATTTTATTTAACAAAAGTATTAATTAAATGTATAGAAGAGTAGAGTGATTGAGCTAAGGAAGATACTATAAAGAAGATTGCTTCCCTGTGTTACTGCACACTTCTTGTGTTCTGTCTTCTGGGTGAGGGTTGGATTGGTGATCATTGGGTTCATTTTGTTGTCTATAAATGGCTTTTCTCTCCTCTTTTTTTTTGAAAAAATTGTTGGAAGCATTAGACTGATTAGTATATCTAATATTTACAGATTTGCCATTTTGTTCTTTTTAAATATTTTAGCTAGTTTCTGGTTTTCCAGATCTTTTTAAGGAACTTTTCCTCCATTCTAAGAAATGTCACTATGTGTTTAGATAGAGCTTTTCTTTAATTTTGTGGGTTTTAAAAGCATCTTAGCTTTAGTTAGCAAAATCAGTTCATATCTAGAAAACATTTAATGTGGAATTATATTTTAGATTATCACAAATCAAGTCAGTTTTTCATTGCTCTGACAAAGAAATTTAAAGAAGGAAAGATCTATTTTGGCTCATGGTTTCAGAGGTTTTAGTCTATCAACTGTGGGCCTGTGGTGAGGCAGAGAATCGTAGTGGAAGCAGGGCTGCTCACCTTACTGCAGCCAGAAAGTAGAGAGAAGTAATTCCTGTACTGGCGGTCTTCCTCCTACTTCCCCTTTTATTCTATCCCAGACCCACATTCAAGACAAGTCTACCCTCCTTATTTAAAATTCTGCAAAACCTTTACAGACACACTAGACATATGCTGTCCTAATCTAGTTATCTCTCAGCCCAGTTAAGGTGATAATCAAGATTAACCACACAAGATAGCATTCTGGATTTATTATTGGACTAGGTATCACAGTAATAGAGGAAAAGAGACCTGAAAATGTATAGTGGCTCTGGTGATGTAAGGATGAGGTATCTGTTACTGAAAACCATATAGCTTTAATGATTAAGAACACAGTTTAAATTCTGCTTCAGGTACTAACTAGCTGGCATACCTTTTTCATACTACTCTGTCTAAGCTTTTGTTCTTCAGGAAAGTGTAAGTTTGATGCAAGAAGTAAATGAGACTTATGTATATATACCACTTAGTCCACTGTATAGTACATGGTATGGAACACAAGTACAGCCTTTCTGTTTATTGTTGTAATTGAGCATATTTCATTATAAAGGACCTCAGTTTTTATATATTGACATAAACTAATCTCTGGTAGAATCTATATTTTTAAATGTATTCATTGTAGGTTATCATTCATTAAATTGATAAATGTTTTTCTTTTTCCTGTTGTTAAAGCTACCCTATATTTGAAAATCCCTACCCTTTGAGTATACACGAGTCTCCTGTTACATGTTGTGAATATTTTGCTGATTGTCCTGTAGACCTTATTCCTGCACTTTATTCTGTTGGAGCTAGACAGAAACGTCAAGGCTACAGCAAAAAGGTATTGAACAGGACTTCCATTATTTAGTGTGGCATTTGAGTACTTTAAATTTATTACCTTGAGGCATTTATTAACATTAATTTTTTTTCTGTAGAAAAGGTATATATAAAACAATTTTTGGAAAAAAAATATTTTTGCTGTTTTCATATATATATGTTATCTATTGCATATAAAATACATATATATATATATATATATATATATATATATACTTATATATATATGAAGTTATACAGTGTGTTTACAGGTTGCTTTATACAGTGATTTTTTTTTTAATAGGAATGGCCTATCAATGGAGGTAATTGGGGCTTGGGTGCTCAGAGTTACCCAGAAATAATTATTACAGGGTAAGTAAAAGTCTGTTTTTACCAAGTAAATCAACTAAGTATAGTTGATTAAGTTTAATTTATTAGGCAGGTACCGCCTAATACATTACTACCTTTACATTACTGCCTAATAAGTTACTGTCACGAATCTGTCAGTTTACCTAGGTATTTAACTTTTGCTCATCTTGGTATCTGTGTTTTTAAAATAATATATTTGTAAAGAAGGGGAAAATATATCTTTTCACAGCCTAAACTCATTTGTATTTCATAGGCATGCTGATGGGTCAGTTAAGTTCTGGGATGCTTCTGCAAGTAAGTATTTTACACCTTCACTGCCTTTGTAAATCCTGTTTTATAATAATTACATAACTAACATTTAGTTTGAAATTTATGGGTTATAAATTCAATTTACTGATTTACCCAATATATGAGTTTAGAAATTTTTAAGAGTAAAGATATTGTTAATGTTACTAGTGTATCAAGAATAATTCTCAACAGAAGTATTCCAGTCCTTTCTTCAAACTATCTGCAAACTTTCCCCAATCAGAAATAGCAGAATTGAGAATGTATTTCATATCAACAAAAATTTAATATTTGATTCTCAATTTATATTACAGAAGTTTGTATTATCTGTGAATTATATCAAGTGTTTCTATAGTGCCAACAAAAGGAAAGTATGCCTTTAGTGTTTAACGCTTGCAGAACATGGATAACAAATATTCACAGGAATCCAGTTAACTGAGGATGTAGCCCATTTTATCATGCAAGCTTGTCTTATAATGCTGATAACTTTTCTAGAGAAAATACATAGGAAATCATTTTAGGAAGGAAAATAGATACTCTTATTTTCATTATATTTGTAAATTTTCCCCAAAATCTTTTTGTTACTCACTTTTTTCAGATTATCTAAATGCTTTCTGATAATGGATGCATTTTTGTTAATGAATACAATGAGTGCACCTTTTTTGATTAATAAGCAAATATATGCATTGACTGAGTGTTTAATAGACAACTGAAGTGTAGACTAAGAAATGAAAATACGGTTTAGACAAACATGAGCTATTTCCTTGCATAGTATGACTGATAAAATATTTGATCTTTTTCTACTAAAATGTATAACAGAGTATCATCTTTTTTTCTAGTAACTCTACAAGTATTATATAAACTAAAAACATCTAAAGTATTCGAAAAGTCAAGAAATAAAGATGACAGACCAAACACAGATATTGTAGATGAAGATCCATATGCCGTTCAAATCATCTCCTGGTGCCCAGAAAGTAGAATGCTGTGCATAGCCGGAGTTTCAGCTCATGTCATTATTTATAGGTTCAGCAAACAGGAAGTGGTTATAGAAGTCATTCCGGTAACAGTTTTTTTCCAGTTACTTTCAGTGTCAAATATCTGATATTTTTTAACTTGAGAATTATTTAAAAGAGAATTTACAGTCAGTTTTGCATAGAAAGTTTGAAAAACCTTGGTATTTATATTGTCATCTCTATTTTGTGAAAAATAGCATTTTTGTATTCCATTTAGTCGAATATTTCAGTCCTTACGTATGTTACATGTTTTATTTAAGGAATCTAATATGAATATGAGTGTGTTCTAATTTGGTATTCCATAAGTTATAAAATCATGATACATGTGTGTACTTTTGTATGCACTCCCACACATTTTTTTAAGAAGTTGAATTAGAAACCTGTTTTCTTTTTATCTCTAGAATATTTATCTTTAAAAATATTCATGCCACAGAAATTTTAGGCTTGTGTATGTAAATTGTAAAATAAAAAAAAGAATGGTAGTTATTAGGAGTAGGTAAACTGCCTTACTTTTATGACAGATGCTTGAAGTGCGATTGTTATATGAGATAAATGATGTGGAAACTCCAGAGGGCGAACAGCCACCACCTTTGTCAACTCCTGTGGGAGGTTCCAATCCTCAACCCATTCCACCTCAGTCTCATCCATCTACTAGTAGCAGTTCATCTGATGGACTTCGTGATAATGTACCTTGTTTAAAGTAAGTTATAGAAAAACTAGAGCTGATTTGTATATAGTCTTTTTATTTAGATAAATTGTAAGCATTAGTGAAGCTACAATAAAACTTATTATTATGGGTAAAATGTCAGAAGAATGGTTCTTTCTATGTTTTACTGTGGTTAATACAACTCTTTTTTATGGCATAAGAGAAATGATGATTCCAAATTTTTTATCCTTAAAATACTAAAGTGGAGCTCCATGTATCTTTCCTGAATATGTCACCCCATTGTCTAAATCCATTGATGTTTTTAGTCTGAATTAGTATGTAGATCAGATTTATGTTCATACCGCTTTCACTCACTATGAAAATTCCATTTTTTTCAGTCTTTAAACTAGATCAATCTTTTTTCATCTTTGTCTGCATCTTTTTTGGCACTACTATGTCTTTATTTAAAAACCTTTAGTTCGCAGTTTTGCAGAATTAAAATCCATCTTGTTTTTAAACAAGAATAAACTTAATAAAGTTTTCTGTTCAATTTATATTTTTGAGTGATTAAATTTTTTAAAGGATATGGGCAGAAAAATAAAGCAGTGAGCAGAGTTAAGATCATTGAAGAATTCTATGAAGTCAACTAGAGTAATGATTGAACAGTGATTCTGGAAGAGGTAGGGGTAAACCCAGACTGTAATACATTCAAAATGGGGTGGTTGATAAGTAAGAAAGGGAATTTACATGTATTTAAAGAAGTAGGCTTTGCAGTGTTTTGCTTTAGATCTACTTGAATTTCTTCTATTGGTGAATAGTTTAATAGCTACTATGAATAATATCAGTGTAATTAAACACTCCAAAGATAAAGCAGATAGAAATTTTAAAATATCACAATAATTTTAAAAGTACAGATTTTATAAAAGTTGTTTATTTATTTACAAAACTTTGATACTGAGTATTTTAAGCAGTAGTTCTCAACATGATTTTGCCTCTTTCAGAATATTTGGCAGTCTAAAGATGTTTTTAGTTGCCACCACAGGGAAAGGTGTACTATTGATGCTTAGTAGGTAGTTGGAGGCTGGGGATGATGCTAAAGTCATAATGCATACAACAGTGCCCAACTCAAAATGTCAGTAGTCTCAAAGGTTCCACATTTTGTCCTGTTTTCCCATCCCCTCCCCTCCCTTCCATTTTCCTTTCCTTCCCCTTGTCTGACCAACCCACCTTCACACCCATACACATAGAAACATACACCTCTTTTTAGCTACAATTCTAGTATATATTTAGCTAGCATGAGACTTGGGAATACAGGATTTTACATTTCCCACCTTTTTTTTCAATACTGCTTTAAACTTGATTTTGTAAAAGTTCTATTAGTGCCTTTTCATCTGATTTAATGTGCTTTTTCCAGCTCTTTATTTAACTTAATTTTTATAAGCCTTTGAGGTATAATTTGCCTTTTGAGTTTTTTCGGTAACATTTTTGTATTTATCAATTATGTTGAGTAACATTTTAATAACATAACAATTCCATATAAATATACATAATCATATTCAACAAAATTAGGTTACTTCAACTTTGGCTTTATTATTTCTTTTGCCTACAAATGCTTATATGTTTCACATCCAGCAGTTGAAAACGATAAACCGTTTTCCTACCTGAAGAATAAGCCCCATCAGTTCATTGCTTTGTCATGACGAGATAAGTCAGAGGAAATAGTACTGACAAGAGAAGCAGTACTATTAAACCAGAATGACAAGAACTCTTACGTTGCTTCCTAGCTAAAAGTTAAAGACAGGCCCATTAAGGTGAGTCCTGTCCTTGTTTTTTCTTGGAAAGGCCTGTCTTCAGTTTTTTGTTTTTTTATTGACTGAATAAAGAGAATAATTAAGGCAGGAACCAAGAATAACTTTTAAAACTGTTAGCCAGCAAACCAAAACATCATTCTGCAAAAATCCAAGTTCACTTAAAAGATAATATCAAATTAATTTGGGAAATACAAGTTTTCATTACTGTTCATGGATGGTATAGCCACCTTTATTGTTAGGACAAATTTTATCTGTGATGGAATGTGTTGGCAAACTGTTAATCTTCTCTAGTTATATAGTAGAATATCACTTAACGTAGGAATGCTTTTTAAGCATTCCTTGGGGGTCTTGACATTAGCCAACCAGTTAATATTTTATGGGAGGAGAGGCCTTTTTTGTTATTTGGCATTTTAACTATTAGCTTCTGTGTATGGATAAATTCTTCATATAATGAGGATATACACACATTTCAACAAATTTTTTCTTAATACTAAAATAATAATGTGACTGTGATTTGATAATTTTTTTCTGTCTTTTGCATTTCTTTAGGGACTGCTAGGGCTTTTCTTTTGTTTTACAAGCAGTTTGCTTTAGCTGATGGAATTTGGTTAATTCACTGTGATCTTGTCACTGTTTGCTGGAGGGAGCTTCTTTTAAGTGGGTTTCCAAGTCTTCACAACTCCACCTCATTACTTATGGGACCACCCTTGATTTCTCTCAAGAAGAAAATCTAGGCATGCATGCTTTGCACTCTTCACCCTCACACAGAGAATGAGCCTCTCCAAGGAGCCCTGATTCCTTTTAGTAGAGAATAGAAACACAGACGGAAGGAAATGTGTTTAACATTGTTTTTAATAAGCAGTGTTATAGTAGCCCACTCAGTGACAGGAGTTTTTTTAATGATTTAAAGCCCTTATACTTTTCATTGAGTGATTATGTTACTCAATAATGTAATTAATTGATGTTTTAACCTCTTCTCAAACTACTCTTTGCCTACCTGGTAATTATTCCTCCCTCTCCTTCCCTCCCCTCACTTCCAGGCAGAACCTGTTCTACCCTCTTCTCCAATTTTGTTGAAGAGAAGACAGCAGAACCTGTTCTGCCCTCTTCAGTTTTGTTGAAGAGAAGACATAAGCAATAATAAGGAAGACAAAGCATTTTTGCTAGTTAAGGATAGCTATACAGAGAGATTCCTGCATTGCTTCCATGCACAAGTGTATTACAACCGTAATGGATTCCTCTCTGTCTGACCTCTTCACTACTTCCCAGTCACCTTCCCATATTGAGCTCTGTCGCTTTAAGGTTACTGTATTAGCTCCTCTGCAGTGGGGACATCAAACACTTTCAAGTTCTGGGTTTCTCCTACCTATCCCCAATCCTCCCATATGTGCTCTCCCCTTCGCATGTGACCCAAGTCCAACAATATTTACTGCCTTTGCCCTAGATCTAAAGTCTGCATATGAGAAGTTATATCAGGGAGAACATACGATTTTTGGGCGTCTGAGCCTGGCTAACCTCGCTTAGCATGATGTTCTCCAGTTCCATCCATTTACTTGTGAATGATAAGATTTCATTCTTCTTCATGGCTGAGTACACACAATGGAATTTACATTGTGTATAAATACCACATTTTCTTAATCCATTTGTCAGTAGTGGGGCATTTTGGTTGTTTCTAGAAATTGGCTATTGTGAATAGTGTTGCAATAAACATGGGTGTGCAGGTGCCTCTGGAGTAACCTGTAATGCATTCCTTTGAGTATATCCCCAGGAGTGGGATTGCTAGGTCATATGGAAGATCTATGTTTAGATTTTTAGGAAGCCTCCATATTGTTTTCTAGTGTGGATGCACTAGCTTGCATTCCCACCAGCAATGTACAAGGGTTCCTTTTTGCCCACATCCTCGCCAACACCTGTTTTTGGTCCTGTTTTTGATGATGGCTGTTCTAACAGGGGTGAGCTAGGATCTTAGTGAGGTTTTGATTTGCATTTCCTTTATGGCCAGAGATGGTGAGCATTTTTTCATGTGTCTTTTGGCCATTTGAATTTCTTCTTATGAAAAAGCTCTCTTTAGTTCAGTTGCCCATTTCTTTATTGGTTCATTGATTTTGGGAAAGTTTAGTTTTTTGAGCTCCCTGTATATTCTGGTTATCAGTCCTTTGTGTGATGTATAGCTGGCAAATACTTTCTTCCATTCTGTGGGTGGTCTCTTCAGTTTAGAGAGCATTTCTTTTGTTGTACAAAAGCTTTTTAATTTTATGAAGTCCCATTTGTCCATTCTTTCTTTTAGTTGCTGAGCTGCTGGGGTTCTATTGAGGAAGTCCTTGGCTATACCTATAACTTCCAGAGTGTTTCCTACCCCCTCCTGTACTTACTACATAGTTTCAGGTCTGATATTAAGGTCCTCGATCCATTTTGAGTTGATACTAGCACAGAATGATAAACATGGATCTAGTTTCAGTTTCTTGCAGATGAATAACCACTTTTCCCAGCAACATTTGTTGAAGAGGCTGTCTTTTCTCCATCTTATATTTTTGGTACGTTTGTCAAAAATAAGTTGTGTATAGTTCTGTGGATTCATTTCCGTGTCCTCTATTCTGTTCCACTGGTCTTCATGTCTGTTTTTGTGCCAGTACCACGCTGTTTTTATTGCTATTGCTTTGTAATATAGTTTGAAGTCGGGTATTGTGATACTTCCAGCATTGCTCTTTTTTGAGTATTGCCTTGACTATTCATGGTCTCTTGTGTTTCCAAATGAACTTTAGGGTAGATTTTTCAATCTCTGTCATGAATGTCATTGGGATTTTGATGGGAATTGCATTAATCATGTGGGTTGCTTTTGGTAGTGTAGCCATTTTTACTATGTTCATTTTACCAATTCATGAGCATGGCAGATCTTTCCATCTTCTGTAGTTTTCCTCAGTCTCTTTCTTCAGTGGTTTGTAGTTCTCCTTGTAGAGAACATTCACTTCCTTTGTTAAGTTTACTCCTAGGTATTTGATTTTTTTTTTTTGAGGCTATTGTAAATGGAATTGTTTCCATATATTCTTTCTCAGTTTGTTCATTGTTGGTGTATAGAAAAGCTAATGATTTTTGTAAGTTGATTTTGTATCCTGCAACCATGCTGTAGCTGTTTATGGTGTCTAGGAGTTTGGGGGTAGAATGTTTTGGGTCTTTAAGATATAGGATCATGTCTTCTGCAAATAGGGATATTTTGACAGTTTCTTTACCTATTTGTATTCCTTT